GTCTCATCACTCAGGTTCCTCCAGCTGCTGGAGAAAATGTGGCTCTCAGGAGGCAAATCTCCAATTGTAATGTTAAGAGCTACACAGAACTAGTGAAAATATTTGGGACTAAAGTTCCCTTTAATTGGGATGAACTACTCTTTGGGTTTCTACATTCAACATCTGCTAATAGTAAAACAAAATACCTGTTTGGTTTACTGAGTGTAGCTGGAAGCGCAGCTAGGAAAGCAAGAAATGGCTTGGATGACTGGTATGATATTATTCACAAGATCTTTGTGATGGAAAGAATCACTTTCTCTGTGAGGCTACAGAAAACTATTTGAGGAAATTTGGGGAAAGTGGAAAAGGTACATTGCCCCTAAACATAGTTCTTTTGTTCAATTCTTTGTCATCTTTTTTCTTAATATATATATTTTTTCTTCCTGTGTAAAGTGGAACACCCCTTCTTCTGTTCTGCTAATATATGTATATTCCATAAAAAAAGAAAAGTGAGATCACTGTATAACTTTTTAAGTAATGAAAACTGTGTATAGTATAGTTAGTATAGTACAATATGCAATTCTAAATCAAGACAAAATATAAAAAATAAATTAAAGCTGCAAGCAGCGTTGGGCGGGCCCTCGCACTTGTAAGCGCGTCCGCGTGTGAGCCGGCCGAGTTGCACATTCTGGAGCTCTGCCGGTGCGGCTGTGAATTTCCTACGCGGTTATGTCGCCGCATGAAGGTGCTATATGTCACTTCCTGTGTCCCCTATGTGGAGCTACATAGCACTTGCCGCTATGAATATAAATCGGTATTGACGTGTAGATGTCTGGGGGTCAGAGAGTTATCAAGCACGCAAAGTTTGGTTCAGATGTGAGCATGTACACTGAACAATAATGTACCCAAACAATAAAATAAATTCCTTTTATATTTCCCTGGCTTGTTGTTTATGTGTACATACAGAGGAAGAATGTGATAACAGCACACATTTCATCGTTACTGTGTGCTGTACCGCAGTTCTGTGTCCATGCATGCAGCAAACTGAAAGCACTGTCTGTCGGAGCGTCTACGTGAAAAGAGAAGGAAGACATGGCTGGTAGTGTCTTCAGAGTTGTTAAACACCTCAGCGCACTGAAGGAAGCCATCTGACTGTGTGAGGGGCAAGATCGTTGATGTCTGCAGGCAGAGTAGGCCTAGAGCTCTCCTGTCTGACTGGTCCACCAATAGCAGAGAAGATGACCCCTTGAGACACAGCCCCTCCTCATTTGCATAATGAGTCAGAAATGCATACAGAAATTTAAAAAGGACAGGCAGAAATAAATACCATGGGTGAAAATAAATAAGGTAGAAAAATACAAAGGAAGAATAAAACAGACAAAAATATTAAAACACACACATAAATAAATATATTAAAAAATTAGTAATAAATAAAGTTGAAGATTATAAGGGAGAATAAATAAATAAGGTAATTATAACAAAGGTGAATAAGTAAAGGCACTAATTAAAATATATACATTTATGTCTCCTTGTATAATTTAATTAATACCAACATTTATTTATTTACTTTATTTTTTTGTGTATTTAATTGGAAGCTTATTTATTTATTGAGCATTTATTTATTTCTGTATTTATTTCTGACTGTGTCAGGATCGGTCCTCCATAGCGGGGTGGGAGAGTTATCAAGCACGCAAAGTTTGGTTCAGATGTGAGCATGTACACTGAACAATAATGTACCCAAACAATAAAATAAATTCCTTTTATATTTCCCTGCCTTGTTGTTTATGTGTACATACAGAGGAAGAATGTGAGAACAGCACACATTTCATCGTTACTGTGTGTTAGAGCATGGGAGAACAGTGGATACTTTTAATACAGCCCACACCCCTAATACTGTGTAACTATAACAAGTAGAGAACAGAAGAAAAAGATGTTCTTTCTTTACAACTGTCTGCATAGCTTATTCATATTGTGTAATGAATGAAAATAAATAGGCCTACTAGGCTCCTCTCTACTTTGACATTTAAGATTAGCTTGTTTGATCCACCTTCATACACATGTGACATTACTGTACAACTTGAGAAAGGTGAGTTGTTTTCTGCTCCAGCCTGCCTAAAAGAAAAGCGTTTTGGGGATTAAATGGACTTTATTAGCTGCTGCAGTGCAGGATGAACTCAGAATAGACCCATTTCTCACCTTATTATTCTAAATCATGCAACGAAGAAGAAGAAATGCATAAGAAATCCTGGGACAAAATCTGTCCACAAATACTGTACAGCATGTAGTCTGATGAACAAGACTTGTGTTATAGCTGACTTGGGCAGTGAAATGTTTTTTTAATTCATGTGGTCATAGTTGTCCACAACTCAAATCAGAATATAAGAAGAAATGTTTTATACCACCTCAAGAAGGCTTCCTATCAGAAAGGTAGGAAGGTATTTCAAATGTACAACTGCAGTACTTAAATCTAAGTAAAGTAATTTCCCTGACATTTTTGTGTTACTTTACTTTTAATAGACCCATGTAAGAGGTTTTATACTTCCTGTGAGTATAATCCAATCAATCTTATTTTCATACTGTATATCCGTTGTGTAATTTGATAAATTGTTTTGTATGTCGTGCTCGCATCTCAGAGAAGACTCTGACTGCAACATGCGTCTTTGTAAAGAGAGAAACAGACAGAAAAAGTCTCTAACTCTGCCTGTCAGCTCGCTCTGCTCCGTTAAAACTGAATTTACCATACAGAATTGAATACGAGTGCACTCCAGATTTAGCTGCAGCCAGCTGACCGTGTGCTTCTCCCTATACCGCAGTTCTGTGTCCATGCATGCAGCAAACTGAAAGCACTGTCTGTCGGTGCTTCTACGTGAAAAGAGAAGGAAGACATTGCTGGTAGTATTGTCTTCAGAGTTGTTAAACACCTCAGCGCACTGAAGGAAGCCATCTGACTGTGTGAGGGGCAAGATCGTTGATGTCTGCAGGCAGAGTAGGAGCTCTCCTGTCTGACTGGTCCACCAATAGCAGAGAAGATGACCCCTTGAGACACAGCCCCTCCTCATTTGCATAATGAGGCAGAAATGCATACAAAATTTAAAAAAGACAGGCAGAAATAAATACCATGGGTGAAAATAAATAAGGTAAATAAATACAAAGGAAGAATAAAACAGACAAAAATATTAAAACACACACATAAATAAATACATTAAAAAAATTAGTAATAAATAAAGTTGAATAAACAAATAAGGTAATTATAACAAAGGTGAATAAGTAAAGGCACTAATTAAAATATATACATTTATGTCTCCTTGTATAATTTAATTACTACCTACATTTATTTATTTACTTAATTTTTTGTGTATTTAATTGGATGCTTATTTATTTATTGAGCATTTATTTATTTCTGTATTTATTTCTGACTGTGTCAGGATCGGTCCTCCATAGCGGGGTGGGAGAGTTATCAAGCACGTAAAGTTTGGTTCAGATGTGAGCATGTACACTGAAGTTACAACAACTTCCTGTGTCATGGCGAAGACTTGATCTCTGACGCCACGCCACGGACACACCCATTGACGAAAACTCGCAAATAGCACAACTTTTCATCTTCAATGCCTTTAGAAGGCACAGCACAAATTTGAAGTCGGTCGGACTAAATCCCTAGGAGGAGTTCGTTAAAGTACGAAGTGTGTAAATCATCCAAAATTTGACGTAAAATTCAAAATGGCTGACTTCCTGTTGATTTTAGGGCATCGCTCCAAGAGGCTTTTTTGTGCGTCTGGACAAGATACACGTACCACAGAAAATTCGTACACGTAGGTAAAACGTGCGGCGGGGGCTGCTTCGTTAAAAGTCACTTCCTGTTGCCAGCAGGTGGCGCTATGACTGTCTGTGAATGTCAGCATGTACATGTGTTCAGGGCGGGACTCTCATCCTACATGTACAGTTTGGTCCAGATGTGAGCATGTACACTGAAGTTACGACAACTTCCGTGTCATGGCGAAGAGTTGATCTTTGACGCCACGCCACGGACACGCCCATTGACGAAAACTTGCAAATAGCACAACTTTTCATCTTCAATGCCTTTAGAAGGCACAGCACAAATTTGAGGTCGGTCGGACTAAATCCCTAGGAGGAGTTCGTTAAAGTACGAAGTGTGTAAATCATCCAAAATTTGACGTAAAATTCAAAATGGCCGACTTCGTGTTGGGTTTAGGCTATGGCTCCAAGAGACTTTTTTGTGCGTCTGGACAAGATACACGTACCACAGAAAATTCGTGCACGTAGGTGAAACGTGCGGCGGGGGCTGCTTCGTTAAAGGTCACTTTCTATTGCCAGCAGGTGGCGCTATGACTGTGGGTGAATGTCGGCATGTACATGTGTTCAGGGCGGGACTCTCATCCTACATGTACAGTTTGGTCCAGATGTGAGCATGTACACTGAAGTTACAACAACTTCCTGTTTCATTGCGAATCATCGACGCCACGGACACGCCCATTGACGAAAACTCGCAAATAGCACAACTTTTCATCGTCAATGCCTTTAGAAGGCACAGCAGAAATTTGACGTCGATCCGACTAAATCCCTAGGAGGAGTTCGTTAAAGTACGAAGTGTGTAAATCATCCAAAAATGGCCATAAAATTCAAAATGGCCGACTTCCTGTTGACTTTAGGCTATGGGTTCTTGAGGCTTTTTTGTGCGTCTTGATACGATACATGTCCCCAGAAAATTTCGTACATGTAGGTTGAACGTGAACGAGGGGCTAATCATTTCCAATTTTCAAGGTGGCGCTAGCGAGTCATTTTGCCACGCCCATGTGCGAAACTTGTAGAATACGAAATTTTTCACCGGTTCTGACATGTTTGCAAATTTTGGTGAGTTTTCGAGTATGTTTAGGCCATGTCATTTGGGCCTACTTTGCAGAAAAAAAAAAAAAAATAATAATAATAATAATAATAATCCGAGCAGATTCAATAGGGACCTCGCACGGTCGTGCTCGGGCCCTAATAAAAAAACCCCACTGTTCTCCATATATCCTTTCCTTTAATTAGAAAGGTTTACATTTTTTAATCTGGAAATACACAATTTTTCATATCAAACATATTGTCTGAATATATAGTTCTTTCAAACTCACCAGAATTGTTATATTTCACAGCCTTGCCAACATACTGTAATATCAATCATGCGAACATTTGATTTCAGTTATGCTTTAATTATGTCACAAATTGGATCTTTACTTGTGTGACTAGTGTGTTGGCCCGTATACAGATTATTCTCAATATACATTTCCTAAATATGTATTTTCTTGTCTGTCTGTGTGTGTAAGAGCAATCTGCTTGTCACTCAGTCCTAACTCACCAAGGACAGCTCTCTGATGTTATTTGTGAACTGAAACCAAGTCTTAACAAAACATTTATGCAGTGTTTCTTGACCCATTTTTTATTGATGATGCATGTTTCCAGATCTTAGCATTTACTTTGGCGAGTTTAACATCATCATAACTGATGAAATTATGGGTAAAATCATAAAAAATAAAATGCAAATTGTAATAAACCTTAGTTTACCTTTAAGAACAAAATTTTACTCTGAGCACGCAGAAGTGTTTATTACATTTATTATGGATACTGGGAGTCATAGAAATTAATTTAAAAATGTTTTGGTTTGACACTGGATTCATTTCTGAGATTAATTATTCATCTTCCACAATGTTCTTAGCAGAATATAATGCAGCACAATATTTACAGACAAAATTTGATTCATATGGGTAATCTGTTCATTTTACAATATGTATTTTACAACCACGGCTGCCATCATCACCAAAAGTTAAATAGGTCCCATGTAATGTTACTGTGAAGGTCAGGAGCCACAGCGGGTCCTGTGGCACTACACACACATTACATCAGAACATGCCACAACAACAGGCAACAAAAAAATATTTACAGCCCCTAAAAACCACAAATTTGCACAATCTCCTCCCTCCCCCCACCATACCTGTTCTCAAATAATTGCCAATAACATTTTAACATTTGAAATACTGTAACATCTAGTGTTAGTGCAGTAAATAAGAGAAGAAATGAGTGTATAAAGCAAATTAAGGAATCTCATCTCTTAAATAACTCCCCTACTCTACCTCAGTCCTCCATCCTCTCCTTCATCTCAGTTTAAAAAAGGACTTTTTTCAGCTATTTTTCAAAAATAAGCTTGATCAGTTCAGATGAAATGTTTTCCACATTGACTATCCCTCTGCATAGATCTCCTCTGCTGACCTTGGTGAAGTGATCAGCCTCTTCTTGTTCTTCTCATGATTCCAAGCAGGTACTTGCAGATGGGAAGGGGCAGAGTAAAATATAGTAGTGACACATCGGTTGTGGGCGTCTACTCACTTAGCAGCTTGCCAAATAATGATGCCAAGTATGACAAGCACAATGGAACAAACCATAGCAAGGATACACATCTTCTTCCGGGACTTTTGCTGTGATAAAGAAAGTAGAGACAGGAGGGTTATTGGCAGGGACTTCACTGAATGACAGTACTTAAAAGTAACTGCTGAAGACTCACCTGGTAGTAGGCGGCTCTCTGGAGTTGCTCTGTTCCTCGTTCTACATGAACTTCAGCATTCTCCACATTTGCCTCAATGCTGTCTGCAGGGTAGAACATACAGCAAGGTAAGCTGGGAACTTATGAAGTCACATGATTCTTCCAGTATAAATGGTTCAGGTTTGTAGTATCCAAAATATCAACAGCATCTCTTAACTTCTGCTCTCTCTCTTTTTACTTTTCACTTTCAGTGAGCAGAAAAAAGGAAAAGAAAATAACATGACAAAGACATGTCTTATCCACTGCTCCATCACCACCCCTACCTATTATAGGAGACAACAGACGGCAGAGCCCCTCATCACATCCCAGCGTCCTACCAACAAGTTATTTGTTTTCCTAAACTTAACCAAACCTCGACCATAGCTGTAGCACATCAGCAAAATGTCATATAAATCACATTTTATTTCTGTTACTGACGGGAACCAGGAAAAGAGATCATATCTCTCCTGTTTTAGCTTCTCTGCACTGGCTCCCTGGAAAATCCAGATTAGAATTTAAAATCTTTCTGCTCACCTACAAAGCTCTTAATGGTCAGGCACCATCTTATCTTAAAGAGCTCACAGTAGCTTACTACCCCACCAGAGCACTCACAGAATGCAGGTTACATGTGGTTCCTACAGCCTCAAGGCAGAATGGGAGAGAGTCATAGCCCCAAAATGATTAACAAAAGGCCCTGATTGGCACAAACCAGCTGGGCAGGTATGGCTGAATATTGATTTGTGTGTATTAGCTGGCTCTGAAAACTGGGGGAGTGTTTGTTTACATCACAAGCACAGAAGCTTTGGACTGCTGGGAGGAAAGGATTTTCAGGACCAGGGTGGGGGACCCAGGGTGGGGGATCCAGTGAGGAACGCTTTCGGGGAGTAGCGCTGGAATGAGCATCAGAACTGGAGACGGGGCGAGTAGGCAACTCAGTAGCCTCCTAGTGAAAATGACTGGATCTGGAACCGGACACAGCCTCCAGACTGCACCTTTCATACAGTACCGAGGGGGCTTACAGCAGCTGCTAACAGGACTCTGACTCCGGGTTGGCCAAGATGGAGGTGGCCTTTCTGACCAGTTACAAGCAGAATTAGAAGGCACTCCAGGACGTGATATTTAGATAATAATGGATTTGAATGCAAAAGTAAGAACTGATAACTGTATGACGATAATGAGTATGACCATGGGAAGGGAGGACTGTGGCATCAACCACTCCGTTTCTAACATAACAAAAGTTAGGAAAGTCAGACGCAGAAATTACTTTTAACATGGGGGCGATGAAGAAACATTTAGAAAAAAATCAATGTTCAGTGACTGCTACTAACAGAAACACGCTCCTTTTCAGGGGACAAAACGTGAACAGGATTTGTTGTTTCTTGCTGCTGTCTAGCGTTCCGAGATGATTTTGCTTCATGTGTTTGTGCACAGCATTTTTAGTGCTGTGTTAAGCAGTAAATTTCCAATTTGCAGAGCTGAGAGCACCATGTTGTTGGGTCTCTATCCAAAATACTCCCAGATATTAGCTGGTCGGAGGCAAGGTTTTTCACAATTAAAATTTGCAATTAATCACATTGTTATGCGTGAAATTGAAAAACGAATTCTAAAGTAGTGTATTGCGCAATTTTTATTTAAATATACAAAAGTGTAATAGCATGTGGTTTGCAAACACTTTAAACAAATAAGGTGCTTTTTACCAGCAGTATTCCCTTTACACAGTAGCAATGAAATATTACTTGTAAATCTCAACTTAAACATTAATGTAATCAAATCAGATATCAAAACAAAGCTATTTTCCACTGTGTAGCGGGGCAGTGAGTGTGTTCACTCGCACAGACTTCACTCTGTTAAAAACTTGAAATGACGTTACAAGTCGCGGTGGATATTTTACAAGCACAGACCAGGTAGAGTTAAAGCAACATTGAACACAGGGTGCAGATGTTGGTTTCGGCAATAACGTGTTAACGTGCCCAGCCCTACAATTAATATTTAGATAGTTAGAAGCCTTTGCCTGGTTTCTGCAAACATCTTATAGCTTAACAAATGTTCCTGTGCAATTAATTAAAACAGAACAAACAGCATCTTTATAAATTTACTTAAACTACAAAAACTGTAACAAAAAATGCTTCAGCCAAAATGAGTCATTGATAAACTGAAGTAGCCGCTTTTTGTTCTGGAAAGCTCAGGCAGGTTCTATGGGCTTTAGGGGGTAGAGAGACATTGAGATTTCAAAATAATTAATTCCATTCTGTTAGTATATTGTTAATATTACTTATAGTTACTATATTCATTATAATGTCATTAATTTAGTAGGTTGTTTTCATTTATTAAATCCTTGTGCAAGAAGCACAGTCTACATTGGTCTCCGATTTATAAATGGTAACTAACATGTCAATTATCATAACCTTAATGCAGAACATTTTGGGGCTACTCTTAGTTCTAGCCTTTACTCACACATCGTCAATTTTTACAGTTCGCACGTCATCTATTTTTATTCATTTGTGAATGAAATATGCCGTTCTTTTTCTTCTGCTTTTATTGGCAGGTGCTGTTGACTTCCCGTCAATGTTACAGTTAATGTTTTACACACTGCCACCAGCTTTACCAGAGGAGAGAGTTGCAAACACTCTAATAATTAATGTGCCATATTCTCTGCTGCTATTTATTCACTAGTCCTTTTTGGTTCACCTTAATTTTTAATAATGTAAATATTGTACATACCCACACTCCTTTATATTTTTCTGATTTTTATATTTATACTCTTATATTTATATACTCTATCTACCTTTTATTACCATTTCTATTCCTCATGCCATGACAATTGTGACAAAGTATTTTTGATTCTGAAATACGGCCAGCAGGTTTCCCAAGGAAAACGGGAGGGTTGACATTGGAGGAGTAGAGAGAGGAGTGGGGTAATGTTACGATCTTCTCTGTCCACAGCAGCGTTTTAGATGCCTATCAGAGCTGATCTCCTCCTTTTGAGAGAGAGCGAGAGAGCGCATCAGGAAACTCGCACTGAAGGATCAGTCTCTCTCTGCCTTATGCGCTCTAGCGGGCATGTGTGTGAGATGACCACGACAGTTTCACATGATCGCTCCTGCTTGTTGCTACATGTCTGATTGCTGCACAACGCTGTAAATGATTAACTGGCGCATCAATCGTTTCCTGTCTGAAAAGGACTTTGGTGCTAGCTAGCTTTGAAAACTGCTCAGACCGCTGACTGACAATTTTAGCTGCGGGTTAAAAATTTGTCTGGCGAGTATTGCATCATCTGATTGATCTTTTTAGAGATCACCGATCAAACTAGTTAAAGCAATTATCGGCCCATTACGATCGGTGACTGATCGATCGGCACACTCTTATTTTTAACCATTTCTAAATTGGATTCGGTCTCGATGCTGCTGCTTTGTGGGTTTGAACGGAAAATAACAGGACTGGCTGTTTTAATGTGCAGGTTTCAGGTCCACAGAACCCTAATAACAACCACCCGAGTGCTACTCACCAATCATTTCTCCCTGATCGTGGATCATCACGGCCAGGTCCTTGAAGATCTGGTTTACATCCATGATGTCAGACTGAAACGGAAAAATCAGGCATCAGCTGTGGCAGGTGTGTGTGGTCCAAGGACAGCAGTCATGGTGGGAGGCTAATGGTGTTCCACTGTGTCCTGGTATGTATTATTAGAAATAGTAAGTAATAGCTGACCTCCAGCTGTCTGATGTTGGTTTCTCTCTCTTTGATGAGCTCCAGGTCCTCCTCTGTGATGGCCACCTCCTCTGTCTGGGTGGTCATCTGACCCCAGTCCTCTTGGCTTTACACAAACAGCAACAAATAAAAATGTAACACAGTCTTTTATGGTTAAAACAGAATACCGATCACAGCTCCAAAATACTGTGTCCACAAACTAAACTAAACTTCCTGCTGTTTACACTGTTTTCAGTCTTGTTTTCTCTTGCTTTTGCACTTTGTGCTGTATCATGATGTACTTTGAAAAACAATTTTTGTTTTTACTACATAATCGGCTTGGGCGGCATCAAGGTATTATGATATATTTTGATACTATCAAAACCACAGACACTCCCTTTCTATTAAAATGATATTTCAATGACGTATTGTAGGCTAGTGCACAGCACACGCCACCAGATATCAATCTACTGCTGGAACAAGCCATTGAGCTGAGAAAAGCTGAATTTACACTGCATGGTAAGGTTTAACTCTACTTGCCTTTTTCTCTACTTAATTTTTCACTGCGGAAAGTACTTTGTATAGTACACCCTCATCTTAGGCAGGCAGTGTGCATGAAACAGCCTTATATCATCTTTAACGTGACAAAGCAATAACCCCCTTCACTTTTATGCTCATTTTCAAGTTCAAAATCCTGTTTAGTTGTTGTACCATGTACAATACAACAATTAAACCATGTAACAGGTTTACAAAAAACACCATATTTTTGGTCATACTGCACATTGCTGCAGCTCCTCTTTTCACCCAGTGTTGAAGGCTTTCTTTAGCTATGGAGTGATGCATCTTGTCTCTAAATGATCTTTGTTGTGAGTTGCACATGCGCAGTTCCTAGTTAAGGACTACTAGCCAATCAGAAGCAGAGAAGGGTGGGTCAGCGAGAAGCAGGGCAACAGCTTTGATTCTGCTGTAGGCTATATGTTGCCGACCAGATTGGCAACATGGACTGGAGCAAGAGTTTCAGAGTGCTGGTTAATTTGTAACAAAAGTATCTTTCATCCATAAAGTTTTAACTGAGCTCTGTCTCTACATCACAGAAACAACTTTATGTCCATTGACTGCCTGGAGGGTAGCTAGTGAGAGGAGGTGTGTGCTACAGCTCAGTGTTTTTCCACTGATGTTTTTTATATCTGTGTCGTCACAGGGATGAAAGGGAAATGGCTGGACTACAAACAACCTGTTTTCAGGCAGTTCAGAGCAGTGCTTTCTGTGGGAGATGGGAACTCCCTTTGGGATGGACTTTCACTTTGTAAGCCTATTACATGTACAAAAAAGGTATATAACTCAATAAAGGAGAGGGAAATGGCCAAAAAGCATAATACCACCTCTTTATAAATGCCAGATTTGTCTCTAGAAGGATTATTCTTGTTTACACAAATACCGTATTACCTGGAGAAATCTGAAGATGGTAAAATAGATACCGCCAAAGCCTACTACATAAACACAAAGAGAATGTTTTGCAAAAGTCACTAATTATTGTTTTTACACTTTCACATGCAATATGCAACATTGCTGTGTTTTATCTGTTTAAGTGATGGCCTTTGAAAGATTTAAAATAGAAATAAAGTGGAATACAATCCACATTGTAAATGAAAAACTGTTAAAAGGACAATGATTTAGCTTTTAGTCTTAATAACTGAAAGACTTTTTCATTGACATTCATTTCCCATGCCACATTAGAGTCAAATCACAACACAGAAACAAAGTGAAGGTGTACTGCATTACAATGTAGAGCAGCAGAGAGCAGCATATGCCAATGCTAAATGGAAAGCTCTGTCATTAGTTTTCATGAAGAGGTGCAATGGAGCCTTTTCTATTGGAGATGGAAACACACTGTCCATGCAAAAAAAATAAAAAAATACAGCAACTACCCAAACTTTGATTTGTGTTTATTTTGTCACTTTAAATGCATTTTTGACTGTCAAACACAGGTAGGCCTATCTACTGGCGACAAGTTTCATGTTGACTGTATATATAAACTAAAGGACTGCTTCGCTGGCACTAACAGGATTTGTGAGGGCAATGTCTACTGTAATAGGAAATAGTATTCTTTGGGGTTATTTCATGTTCTCAAAAGACAATATGGTGTTTCTCCATTGCTGGTACCAGCTCAACTTGCTTCAACTCTACTCGACTCGCTGTTGGCCCACCGTCCCATGTTTTCCATTGCAGATACAGTACTTCCTCAACGTAGCTGGTCATCATAGCAACGCTGGATGAAACTGCCGCAACACACCTTTCAACGTGACACACCAGCTGTCTCTTGATTTCAGTAAAACATTTCAACATTACTCAATGTAAAGACAGAATAGCAGTCTGCTATGTTGGCTGCAGTGGTCCGTGTGACCAGACAACTTTTTCCCACTGGAAAACCAAAAAAGGCGAGTAGAGGCGAGACGAGGCGAGCTGGTACCATGAGGTAGAAATTAGATGCATTAGATGCTTTTTACAGATGTGCACTAGTGATGAAATTAAAAAGATTACAGCATTAAAGGCTATATCTTCTTGTCTGTATTTATTCATTATTAATCTATGGGTCACCATTATACACCTTGTGTATACCAAGTTCCATATTGCTTAAATTGCCAGACTAGAAGAAACCTTGAATGAATGACAGTCACTTACTTATCAAAAGACACAAGCTTTTCATCCCGAGAACTGTCTTCAGTCTGCAGGAGAAGGAAAAACCCACTATTGCCAAAGTCAAGTCAGCAAAGCACAGGTTGTCAAAACATGACTCGCATGAATCTGAAGTTTCATCACTATTCTGTTATTTGCCATTCTGTGGTGCGAAACAACCACTGACTCTACTTACTGATAGGCGAGATCCAGCTCTTGCTCTGGCTACAGACTCCTTCTCCTTCTCTGCTGCACGCCGCTGGATTCCTTGGAAGTTGTTGAGAGCTGCTGAGAAATCATTCATCAGTCTGTCCCTCTGGATCTTTTGCTGCCTCTGGAGACCACAGAGCAAAGGGAGACAGGTGGTAAGAGACCGGTTATGCTGGCCCCAAACAATAAGATAACTGGGAGGATTGTGGAGCCAATTTTCCCCTCCTGACAGTTGCTGGGGTGCTGCCAATCTGAGGCTGGCCTGAACAGATTATCTGCCCAAATGATGGTCAAATCATAAATATCAAACATGTTTAATATTTACATTTCGACACCGGGGAGACTTGGATCATTTCCGGTACTGTGAAAGGAACAGCGATGGAATATTGATCAGAAACCCGCAACAGCCAGAGAGACCAGGGTGACTATCTGCTCGCGCTATCAACTGTAAATCATGTTGATTTCCTCTTCTCAGCCTCGAGTTATACAGTTTGATTCTATTTTTTGAGCAACAAGTTGACGATGACAGACTGCCTCCGTGATTGGTAGTCTGTGGTATCCCACGTTTTAAAAATGAATTAAGATTTGAAAATCCTGTAGTGTGCACAAGACATTAGAAAAACAAGGAGGAAATTCATAAAGATAAAGAGTGTCACATTTAGAATTTTTACCATGCCAAAACACTTTTTCAATTTACCATAACAATTAAATCAGACTTTTGGAGAAGCTGTGATTTGGTGAATTGAAACAGACATATTTTTAGATTTGCCAGCTCTAAAAGCTTCTATTAGTTAGTTATAAACTTAATGAAATATTCCACATTAAACAAGCAGCTGTTTGTTGTAAGTTTTACAGCTGACCTGAGCCTTGCATTTCTGCTGAAATATGGCAGAATCCAGTCTTCTGGCAGAGGGCAAGTTAACCTAATTATTATTGTATTAGTTTCTCCTTTGTGGCATTTATTTTTCTGTGAGCTACGTTTTGAGTTTGCTGGCATGTTGTCTCAACCGTATCCTAAACTGGGCGCTTCCTCTTTTTTTTGGGAAGTTGTTTTTTGTTGTACCTTTTTGACTCCTTTGGTCACTCCAAATTGTAAATAAATGCCAAACTATACCGATAAATCCGTCTCCTTAATTCCTTCAACCTGGAATACTATTAATTATACTGCGTGCATAATTATAGGCAAATTGCATTATTTTTAGAGTCCGACCGATTTATCGACTGGCCAGTATTATCGGCCAATATGAGCTAATTGCATTTAACTCAGCATCAGCGTTTTTAAATGCCAATATTTGACTATTAAAAAAGAAACTGAGACAGATCCTTCACTCGTGTCATGAGCGTTGCATAGTTTCCCCAACAAAGGGCACTCTGCAGCTCCTCTGCTAACAACACTGCTGCACTACAAAAACCACAGAAAAAAAATATATATATCAGCTGACCAGAGTCTACTGGAGCATGTAGAAAAAATACAGAGTGTAGCTGTGTTACCAGTGAGTTGGTCATTTGTTACCTTAATTACATGACTTTAATAATAATGAAAGTAGGCCCAATAATTTCTCCTCTCCTGAAAACATTCACAACTTGCTAAACCTCCTATTTTTCCATTGCCCTCTCCTGGTTTCCTCCCGGCTCACAGTATTGTGTTTAATGTTACAGTAGTTTGGTGGTGGAGGCTACTCTGCTGACAGACATGATTATAGATTTTTTTCTGATACAGTGTGGCAGTTCTAGTGAACAGTCCTCATTTCTCCATTTGAAATTTTGAACTCCGAAATTCTGACTTCCCATGTCCAATGGAACAGGATGAACTTTTGAATGTTCTACCTTAGATTTGTTAAGTGATCCACTGTTTGGCGTCAAGTGTTCTTACCATAAATAAAAGTTCAAAACACAGTTAATGGTGCATTAACTGTGTTTTAAAAAAATAAAAATAAAATAAAAAATAAGGTCATGAATTTTGGTTCTTTTATGAGTCTATTATAGGTCTTCTGAAAATGTGACCAAATCTACTGGGTCAAAAATATACATACAGCATTGTTAATATTTGGTTAAATGTCCCTTTGTCATTTTACCTCAATTAGGCGCTTTTGGTAGCCATCCCCATGCTTCTGGCAAGCTTCTGGTTGAATTTTTGACCACTCTTCTTAATAGATTTGGTGCAGTTGAGCTAACTTTGACACAGACACAATTTAGTCTTCCCTCCTATTTTGTGTCTTTGTTTGGGGTAGTAACCTCTTTAAATGTGATTGTGGCACCTTTTCACCTCAATGATGAATTAATTTTAATTCACTTATAATATCTCCTGTGTTTCAACAGGTTTTCTGCTCATGTTCAAAACTTTCAGCACATTCAGAATCTCTCCCACATATTCGCTAAGCTTGGGTGCACCGGATTACTATCATGCTATTACCATGTATGCTGTTGTCGCATCAGCTGGTTGGAGTTGATTAACTCCGCAAGTCGACGTTATCAGTTATAGATTTGCTTTCCACATACAGTCTATGGTTTTTCACTGGGTAAGAAAATTTATGAGTGGTGTGACAGCATGTGGGAAATGTCAAGTTAGTCAATCTCATGAGACAGCTTTTAACCTGACGAGATGTTGCCATGTTTTAACCTCAGGAGATCTCGTAGCACGAGATAAACCATACACATTTAAAAACTGGAAGTTATCAATAAAAGGAATTTTACAAATGCACAGAATCAGAAGATAACAGTAAATGTTTTGAGCTCCACACAAACACAGTACATAAAGGTTTTATTACTGGACCTAGGCAGATATCAGGACTACATAATTGAGGTACGGTTGAGAAGTGCAGATGTATTAAAGTAAATATCTAACTGTAAATGGTTAACTGAATTCGCTGTGCTGACTGCCAGACAATTTCTCACCTTCCACACTCAGTGTATACTAGTGATGTATTAACGAATGCAGACTGACACTTACTTGCTCTGAGGGTGATGAAGGCAAAGGTATTGATCCCAACTCTTTCAGGTGCTTGTTGGTTTCTTTTGCCAGTTGGTTGGTATAGTGTTGTATCTGCTGCCTGTGGAAACAGAACCGATTAGAATAACAAAAGACTGCTAGCCAATCTGATGAGAGAGTTGCTCTACAAGCAACCAAGATCACCCATCACCCTGCACAATAAATTACACCTTTCTAGTACATATGACAGTACAGTGTTCTAGTAAATATGAAATTTAAGCAACAACCTAAAACTGTTTTGACATACCCAGGGCTCAACAATAAGGACTGTCCCATTGCCCAAGGCAAGTAAAATCCCACTAAATCTAGCAACTCATTTGTCTGTTCAGGCAATGAGGCAAATAAAATTGACCACATGGTTTTGGTGTAGTATTCTATGTCTATCTATATCGTAATTTATGGGTCTCATGCATGGGCAAAATGGCTCGCTAGCACCCCTTGTAAAGAAGCTGCTGGCCAAAATTTCACCTACGTGAATGAAATTTCTGTGATGACACCCAACAGAAAGCTGGTCATTTTGGATTTTAGGCGATTTACACACTTCATACTTTAACAAACTTCTCTTAGGCAATTAGTCCGATCAACTTCAAATTTTCGCTGTGCAGTCTAAACCCATTGATGATTAAAAGTTGAACAAACGGTGAGTTCTTGTCCACGAACATGCCCATGGTGTGGCATCCAAAATTGACGATTCGCCACAGAACAGGAAGTTTTTATAACTTCAGTGTACATGCTCACATCTGTACCAAATCTGACGTGTATGTTAACAGTCTCGCCCTGAACTTCGTGACTGTCCGAAGGAGGAATAGTCGTAAGCATTCAAAGTCCACGGGGCACCATCAACCTGTTCACGTTTCTAACAGATTTTCCCCACTCAGCGACACACCCGCTGAGAAACCAACTCTGATCATTGGCAGCTCCATTTTGAGAAACGTGAAGTTAGCGAAGCCAGCGGCCATAGTTAAGTTCATCCCTGGGGCCAGAGCGGGCGACATTGAGTCTTATTTGAAACTGCTGGCTAAGGATAAACGTAAATACAGTAAGATTGTTCTTCACGTCGGCGGTAATGACTCCCGGTTACGCCAATCGGAGGTCACTAAGATTAATGTTGAGTCGGTGTGTACATATGCAAAAACCAGGTCGGACACCGTAGTTTTCTCTGGACCCCTGGCAAATCTGACCAGTGATGACATGTATAGCCACATGTCGTCATTCCGCCGCTGGTTGTCGAGGTGGTGTCCAGCAAACGATGTGGGCTTTGTAGATCATTGGCAGACTTTCTGGGGAAGACCTGGTCTGATCCGGAGAGACGGCATCCATCCCACTTGGGAAGGAGCAGCTCTCATTTCTAGAAATCTGGCCAAGTTTATTAGTGGACCAAATCCATGACAACCCAGAGTTGAGACCAGGAGGCAGAGTCGCAGTTTAACACACTTCTCTGCCCTTCTTTTTCAGCAGTTACCCACCCAAAACCCTACGCAGAGTCGCAGTCTAACACACTTCTCTGCTCCTCCATTTCAGGAGTTACTTAGTGAAAATCCTATAGTGACGGTGTCTATCCCCCGACCATTGAAATTATTTAAAAAGGTAAACAGAAGAGGAGCTGTGCATAAAAACCCCATAAAAATTAAAACCACAAGAGCAATAGTGCAAACGAATAGGAGAGTTAAATGTGGACTCTTAAACATCAGATCTCTCCCTTCTAAAGGTGTACTAGTAAATGAACTAATATCAGATTATGATATTGATTTATTTTGTCTTACTGAAACCTGGCTGGGTGATGGAGAATATGTTAGCCTAAATGAATCCACCCCTCCCAGTCATATTAATACTCACATTCCTCGAGGCACAGGCCGAGGAGGTGGAGTTGCAGCTATCTTCGACTCTAGCCTATTAATCAGCTCTAAATCTAAACCAAACTATAACTCATTTGAAAGTCTTGTTCTTAGTCTTTCGCACCCAAGTTGGAAATCACTGCAACCAATTCTCTTCGTTATAGTGTACCGAGCACCTGGCCCGTATTCTGAATTCTTATCTGAATTTGCAGAGTTTTTGTCAACTTTAGTCCTTAAAACGGACAAAGTTATTATTGTAGGGGATTTTAATATTCATGTGGACGTTGAGAATGACAGCTTTAGTACTGCGTTTATCTCTCTGGTAGATTCCATTGGCTTCTCTCAGAGTGTTCATGAACCGACTCACTGTTTTAACCACACCCTCGACCTTGTTTTGGTGTATGGTATTGAAATTGAACATTTAGTGGTGTTCCCATAGAATCCCTCTTTATCCGACCACTGTTTGATAACTTTTGAGTTTGTATTGCTGAACTACACGCCATTGGGCAAAAATTTCTATACAAGATGTCTGTCTGATAGTGCTGTAGCTAAATTTAAGGATGTGATTCCATCAGCTCTAAATACATTATCTAGTCACAAAGTAACGGAGGACTCCTATGCTAATTTCAGTCCCTCCCAAATCGATCATCTTGTTGATAGTGCTGCAGGCTCGCTGCGAATGACACTCGACTCTGTAGCCCCTCTAAAAAAGAAAATACTAAAACAAAGACAGTTAGCTCCATGGTATAATACTGAAACTCGCAAATTAAAGCAAATATCGCGGAAACTTGAGAGGAATTGGCGTTCCACCAAAGTGGAAAATTCTCGTTTTATTTGGCAAGATGGTCTTAAAACTTATAGGAAGGCCCTCCGTAATGCTAGAGCAGCGTACTACTCGTCATTGATAGAGGAAAATAGGAACAACCCCAAGTTTCTTTTCAGCACTGTAGCCAGGCTGACAGAGAGTCACAGCTCTATTGAGCCAAGTATTCCCATAGCTCTCAGTAGTTACGATTTCATGAGCTGCTTTAATGATAAAATTCTAGCTATTAGAGACAAAATTCACCAAGACCTGCTCTCAACTGGCACCAACTTATCTCTTAACTCAGGAACCTTAGAAACAGCTGTAGAACCAGATATGTTTAGACTGTTTTGCTTCACTCAATCTTTATCAACTAACTTCAATAATTTCTTCATCTAAACCATCAACCTGCCTCTTAGACCCCATCCCGACTAGGTTGCTTAAAGATGTTTTACCCTTAGTCAGCACCTCTATACTAGATATGATCAATCTATCTCTATCAACAGGCTATGTACCACAGTACTTTAAAGTAGCTGTAATTAAACCTCTTCTGAAAAAGCCCAAACTTGATCCGGATGTTTTAGCCAACTATAGACCTATAATCTAACCTTCCATTTCTCTCTAAGGTTCTGGAGAAAGCAGTTGCTAAACAGCTGTGTGACTTTCTACAGAGCAATAGTTTATTTGAGGATTTTCAGTCAGGATTTAGAGCTCATCATAGCACAGAGACAGCACTGGTGAAAATTACTAACGACCTCCTTATTGCATCAGACAAAGGACTTGTATCTGTACTGGTTTTATTAGATCTTAGTGCTGCATTTGATACCATTGACCATCAGATCCTATTGCAGAGACTGGAATATTTCATTGGCATTAAAGGAACCGCTCTAAGCTGGTTTAAGTCCTATTTATCAGATCGATTTCAGTTTGTACATGTTAACGATGAGTCCTCCCATACATGCCAAAGTTAGTCATGGAGTTCCTCAAGGATCTGTCCTCGGACCAATCCTCTTCACTTTATATATGCTTCCCTTAGGCAATATTATCAGGAAACATTCCATAAGCTTTCATTGTTATGCTTACAATTCATTTGATGCAAACCTATTCAAGATACAGTGTTTCACATATGTTTATTTATTTGCGATGGCCCGCCACAATATTAACGCTGACTGCCACATATTGATTTTTGTTTCTTTTTCAATAGGCCTATTTAATGCACTGCCTGTAGAGCTGCCATTTTTGCGCAGCACATCCTCTCGCTCGTCCCTCCATCTCTCTCTCACTCTCCTTCATGAACACAGCTGCACAAATCAGTCCAACACAACGCTGTCAATGCCGGACTTTAAAAAGGTTATTAGCAAGCATGTAAGGAAGTCTAGCTAATAAGGAGAGCTAAGTTAATGTTAGAATACAGCTGGAATTTTGAGGCCAACACGCTGTATAGCTGGTAGTCAATATTGACTGCACGCACGGGCTAATGTTAGTGTATTCATTATAATTTCAGATAGTAATATAGGCTAATAAACTGGTTCCTAAACTTTATTAGCTCAAGAGAAAGAACTCCGTGGAGGTTGGGTACATTGAACATGAGTGGGCAATGTTCAAAGCCTCTATTGCTGAAGTCTCAGCGGGAAGCTGTGGTCTCAAGGTGCCTCAAGGGGCGGTAACCCTCGAACACCGTGGTGGACACTGGTGGTCAGTGAAGCCGTCCGACTGAAGGAGGCCTTCCGGGATTTGTTCTCTTGGATGACTCTGGAGGCGGTTGCAAGGCACCGACAGGCCCGAAGGGCTTCTGGAGAACTGTCCACCACCTTAGGAGTGGGAAGCGGGGAACCGTCCAAGCTGTGTTACAGTAAGGATGGGACCCTGTAGACCTCAACTGGGGAGGTAATTGGGCGGTGGAAGGAACACTTTGAGGAACTCCTAAATCCAACTGGCACGCCCTCTCTAGTAGAGGCAGAGCTGGAGGCTGATGGGGGTTTCTCGTCAATTTCCCTGGAGAAAGTCACTGAGGAAGCCGCAGGGATTGATTAGATCTGCCCAGAAATGCTAAAAGCTTTGGGTGTGGAGGGGCTGTCTTGGATGACACGTCTCTAACATTGCGTGGAAGTCGGGTACAGTGCCCAAGGAGTAGCAGACTGGGGTGGTGGTTCCCATGTTCAAAAAGGGGGATCAGAGAGTGTGTGCCAATTACAGGGATATCGCACTTCTCAGCCTCCCCGGTAAAGTCTACTCCAAGGTACTGGAACGGAGGGTTTGGCCGATAGTCGAACCACGGATCGAAGAGGAACTAATGCGGTTTTCGTCCTGGTCCGAGTACTCGGCACTAGGTCCGACTCTTTCCAGGTGAGGGTTGGCCTTCACCAGGGCTGCGCTTTGTCACCAATCCTGTTTGTGATATTCATGGACAGGATATCGAGGCGTAGACGTGGCGAGGAGGGGTTGCAGTTCGGTGGGCTTGGGATCTCATCACTGCTTTTTGCGGATGATGTGGTCCTGATGGCATCATCAGCAGAGTGTGAAGCGGTTGGGATGAGGATTAGCGCAGTAATCAGTAGGAAACCGGTGGAGTGGCAACTCCAGGTAGGGAATGAGTCCTTACCCCAAGTGAAGGAGTTTAAGAACCTCGGGGTCTTGTTCATGAGTGAGGGGAGATTGGCTGGAGAATCGGAGCAGTGGGGGCGGTATTGCACTCGCTTTACTGCACCGTTGTGATGAAAAAGAGCTGAGCCGTAATCTCTCTACCGGTCAATTTTCGTTCCTATTGTCATGAAGGCTGGGTCATCACCGAAAGAACGAGATCGCGGGTACAAGCGGCCGAAATGGGTTTCCTCAAGCGGGTGGCTGGTGTCTCCCTTAGAGATAGGGTGAGAAGCTTGGCCATCCGCGAGTAGCTCAGAGTCGAGCCGCTGCTCCTTTGCGTCGAAAGGAGCCAGTTGAGATTGGGCATCTGGTAAGGATGCCTCCTGGACGCCTCCCTAGGGAGGGTGCCAGGGGTAGTTCGGGGTTCAGTATCTTGCCCAAGGACACTTGCACGGTAGTAATCTTTATTCTTTACCATTGACGACAACGTTGCCCTGCACGATTGCTCTAAAAGTTGCTCTATGTATCATCAGCTTAAGTCAATGTAGAATTGTTTGCGGTTAAAAGCTTTTTGCTGGTGGCACAAAGTTTACAACGGACGACAAAGTTCTTTGCATCTTAGATTGTGACACAATAATGGCAACAACGTTACTCACAGCTGTCGAAAATACCTCTCCTCCCCGTTCTCCTGTCTTACTTTTTGGCTAATAGCTGATAAGGTCTGGTGGCGCTGAGCTGCAGCGCGGTCGCGCATTCAAGTCAGGAATGGTGCGTTCGAGTAGGGCAGCCTTAATGTGATTAGTAACTGTAATAACATTACTGTTTTGGAAATAGCAATCCGTCACACTACACACTTTACCGGGAAGATTCATATTACAGTATTACTGCCCAACACGTTACGTACCACTGATGCGCGAGAGTGACTGTGTTACACACTGCGCAGGTGTGGAATGGGCAGCTGAACGCAAAGAACATTCTTGTTGATACTTGGAAAGGAAGAAAACTTTACACACGTCAGCCTGTAGATGTTCTCAAATCATTTCCATTTCACTTGGCCAGCTCCTATACATCACATCCTTGAATCATAGAGGCACATGTCATTTGGGACAGTTAAACAGAGATATTGGAGTGCAACAGATCATGGTGACCAAAAAGCCAAAAGAGTGTGTGTGTTTAGAAGAGAGAACAAATAATATGGGAGTTTCTGGAGAAAAGGTTAAAACATACAGACGATCCTGGAGTTCACTGGTGTCCTGTCTGGTCCCCAGCTGGTTCACCATGCTCTTGATCTGAGCAGCTGTCATGAGAACAAGACAAAGTCATAAGTCTCAATCTTGTAATGGAAAAAACTTATAAAAACACATAAAAATATGGCTAAAAATATCTTATTTAAACCTTAGCGATACGACTTCACAAAAGGATTGATCTTATTAGAATAAAAATGAATAGATAATTATGCTTTTGATAAGTCTCATTAGATCAGACTAGTAAAAACATTATATTGAACTTTTCAGAAAACTCTAATTAGTGCATTACAGCTTGTGGAATGTGGACTTTTTTTGAACAAGGTATGGATACACAACCCACGCCACATTTTATGTAAACACTATCCACAACTTGGAGGAGTAACTAGAATAAATAAATATATCAGTTTAATATTCTAACATTAAATATAATGTGGCAATGGCGCAGAGGATAAGACACATGCCTTTGGTGTGAGAGCCGCGGGTTCAACTCCCTCTGTGACACATTGATCCTGAGCGAGACACTTAACCCCTAGTTGCTCCAGAGGACGTGCGACCTCAGACATATCTAGCAATTGTAAGTCGCTTTGAATAAAAGCGTCAGCCAAATGTAATGTAATAAAAAGTAATATTAATTACATTGATGAATCAACCCAGCCCCATCTCAAATGCAGCACTGAACCCAGCAAGACTTGTCTAAGCAGGCTGACTGAATATTACACACACACACACACACACACACACACACACACACACACACACAGCATTACAGGCTAGACAATGGCATACATGCTACAATCACAGCAGCTCAGGTTTTAGTTGTTTTTTACTCAAATATCATCATATACTGTGTATCCCAGCGAAAGGTAGGCATGAAGGTATGAAAAAAAAATAATAAAAAAAAGACAAAAAGATACCGCCCAAGTAGAGGGCTGCATTGGGATTGGGACCCCATCACAAATCGTGCGGGAGCGGGCCGTTTTTTACTCTGCTGCGGGTGGGAGTGGGCAGTTAAAAAAAGTTGTTGGGGAGTGAGGTTTACTCACTGCACAGCCATGCTGGTTTCTGTCACAAGGGCTTATACAATACAAGACCAAAGCAAGCTACTGACAAAAATGAATGCAATAATTTATGTTTGTTATTTTGACGTTTTAACATAGCCCAAATATTTGTGTCCTGATTTTCACTCTGCATGTCACAATGTTTGTGGGTGCGGGCGGTAATGGTCAAAAAATGAGCGGGATCGGCATCAAGAAAACAGTCCCGCGCAGGGCTAGGCCTGTCACAATAACTACTTCCGTTGAATCAGGGGTCGGCAACCCACGGCTCTTTCATCCTTATACTGCGGCTCCGAGTGGCTTGGGAAAATAAATTACAAAGAAAAAAAAAAAATCTAAGTATTTAATTGAAGTGTATTTTATTTGTGTTAGTTCTTTTTTCGCCTTTGGAGTCCTGTCCATCTTCGGATCCACATATGTACAGTGGGTACGGAAAGTATTCAGACCCCTTTAAATTTTTCACTCTTTGTTTCATTGCAGCCATTTTCCAAAAATCTAAAAAGTTCATTTTATTTCTCAGTAATGTACACTCAGCACCCCATCTTGACAGAAAAAAACAGAAATGTAGAAATTTTTGCAAATTTATTAAAAAAGAAAAACTGAAATATCACATGGTCATAAGTATTCAGACCCTTTGCTCAGTATTTAGTAGAAGCACCCTTTTGATCTAATACAGCCATGAGTTGTTTTGGGAAAGATGCAACAAGTTTTTCACATCTGGATTTGGGTATCCTCTGCCATTCCTCCTTGCAGATCCTCTCCAGTTCTGTCAGGTTGGATGGTAAACGTTGGTGGACAGCCATTTTCAGGTCTCTCCAGAGATGCTGGGCCATTCAAGAACAGCCACGGAGTTGTTGTGAAGCCACTCCTTCGTTATTTTAGCGGTGTGCTTAGGGTCATTGTCTTGTTGGAAGGTAAACCTTCCAAGGCCAAAAAGTTCTATCTTGGTCTCATCAGACCAGAGGATCTTATTTATCACCATCTTGGAGTCCTTCAGGTGTTTTTTAGCAAACTCCGTGCGGGCTTTCATGTGTCTTGCACTGAGGAGAGGCTTCCGTCGGGGCCACTCTGCCATAAAGCCCCAACTGGTGGATTGCTGCAGTGATGGTTGACTTACTACAACTTTCTCCCATCTCCCGACTGCATCTCTGGAGCTCAGCCACAGTGACCTTTGGGTTCTTCTTTACCTCTCTCACCAAGGCTCTTCTCCCCCGATAGCTCAGTTTGGCCGGACGGCCAGCTCTAGGAAGGGTTCTGGTCGTCCCAAACGTCTTCCATTTGAGGATTATGGAGGCCACTGTGCTCTTAGGAACCTTAAGTGCAGCAGAATTTTTTTTAACCTTGGCCAGATCTGTGCCTTGCCACAATTCTGTCTCTGAGCTCTTCAGGCAGTTCCTTTGACCTCATGATTCTCATTTGCTCTGACATGCACTGTGAGCTGTAAGGTCTTATATAGACAGGTGTGTGGCTTTCCCAATCAAGTCCAATCAGTATAATCAAACACAGCTGGACTCAAATGAAGGTGTAGAACCATCTCAAGGATGATCAGAAGAAATAGACAGCACCTGAGTTAAATAGGAGTGTCACGGCAAAGGGTCTGAATACTTATGACCATGTGATATTTCAGTTTTTCTTTTTTAATAAATTTGCAAAAATTTCTACATTTCTGTTTTTTTCTGTCAAGATGGGGTGCTGAGTGTACATTACTGAGAAATAAAATGAACTTTTTAGATTTTTGGAAAATGGCTGCAATGAAACAAAGAGTGAAAAATTTAAAGGGGTCTGAATACTTTCCGTACCCACTGTATGTGAGCAGCTATTCTCTACCATGAACTACATTAAAAACAAACACCGCTCACGCCTCACAGATGACAGCTTACAGTCCTGCGTAAAGATGAAAGTGACTTCGTACAGCCCCGATTTGCAGACGCTGTGCGCAGAGGTTCAGGAGCAGAAGTCCCATTAACCAGGTAAAATAAATATTTATGCAGATATTTTGCAAATATTTATTTTTTTATTGTTTAGTGACACAGTGCTTTTTTTCTCAATTTATTTTTTAAATTCAGGTCAAGGCTCCGCTACATGCTCTGAAAGCCCAAAGGCGATACTATAAGGATGACGGCTCACGGCGTTTTTTGCTTTTGTTTGCTACATGGATATTTTAAGTTCAGCTTTTTAATTTATTTGACAGAGACATTCAGACATTGTTATTATTTTTTCAAGAATTCAAAATGTTCAAAGCACTAATAAGTGTGTGGCTGGGGTGAACCCCTAAGCATGAAAGGGAAGTTGTTGTTTTTTGTTTTTTTTTAAATAAATGCAGGTTTTTTTCATTTTAGATGTCAAAAAGTATTTGCGGCTCCCAGTGTTTTCTTTTCCGTGGAAACCGAGTTCAAATGGCTCTTTCGGTGTTAAAGGTTGCGTTGAATGATATCTTTTCCCATATTGTCATCATTTTTAGACCATTTTATGACACTGATACAACAATAATAGCATAATAATGGAAGTAGAACAGTTGTGACTTAGCTTAGCAACTTTTGCATCTGTATAAAGCTGATGATACACGGAGGAACTTTTAGAGCAATCGTGCTGGTAATGAGTAAAGATTATTACCGTAATCCCCCTCCCTCACCACCCGCCCTGCACCGCTGCTATCCGTTCAAAACATCGGACTTGCCTCCAGCAAGATTGCCTAGCAACATTGCTCAAAAAGTTGCCCTGTGTATCATCAGCTTAAGACTTTTGCCAGACTTGTTTTTCCATTACCAGTACCAGCTCTACTTGCCTCTACTCGCCTCTATTTGGCCCTGCTCCGTTTTCCATTGCAGATAGTACCCCTCAATGTAGCTGGTCGTCATAGCGACGCCACACACAACTGCCAAGATGTAATTTTCAATGCGAGACACACACCAGCAACCCACACACAGCCGTCTCTTGATTTAAGTTAAAATGTTTCAACATTCCTCAGAATGTAAAGACAGATAAGCGGTATGAAAACCTTATAGCTGTGTTTTCTTCTGCTGTTGTTGCTGCAGCAGTGAAAGTGGGACCTGAGGGTTCTGTGAGCGGGCGGCTGGCCGGCCTCGGAAGCCCCTCCTGTGGATTGCCGCAGGCTTCCCACGCCGCCACTTGCAGAGCTCCTCAACTTTCAAGCACATTTTTGTTCCGCCATCACTTTTTGTAAAACTGTCAATATTCGAAATGTACACAGTTGATTTCTCACCTCAAAACTTCTCAGAAGTGGATTTAGTGATGAAATAACGTATGAAAATTGTAAAATATAAAACTTTGTGTTGCTGGCCTCTGTCAGGCGTGCGCAATGATGATGCAGTGAATAGTGACAATTCTCTCGTCACGTCACATTTCAGTATCTCCTCAGCTCGCTTGAGGTACAGGTACAACTTTTTCACAATGGAAACCCCCCCCCCAAAAAAACGCGAGTCAAGGCGAGCTGGTACCGTGCAGTGGAAAAGGGGCTTTTTACTCGCTCTGAGCGATGGCAGTACCAGCCGAGCAGCAGAGGTAGTTGAGCAGAGCGCTAGAGCTGGGGCATAAGGTCTGACTAACGGCTGAAGGTAGGTGGGGGCAGTTCTACTGACAGTCTTGTAGGCCAGTACCATTGTCTTAAATACAGTCCCATCCAAAAGTATTGGAACGGTAAGGCAAATTCCTTTGTTTTTGTTGTTCACTGAAGACATTTGGGTTTAAGATCAAAAGATGAGTATGAGACAAGAGTTCAGAATTTCAGCTCTCATTTCGTGGTATTCACATCTAGATGTGATTACTGGGTAAGAAGGTGAGGACTCTGTCCCCTTAACCAATTTCTAATTCTTCCTCTGGAGCCTTGCTTTTTCAGTTTTTTCCTTCTTCCCCCTCCTTCAAAGGGCAACTGTTGAAGATGGTCACAACGCCCAAGCTGTTTACATTATTACTTAAGAGAGAAAAAACTCCCATGAGCAGGGATGAAACGATTACCGGTTTAACGGTAAACCATGGTAAAATTCCCGACGGTTATAATTACCGTACACATTTTAATTACCATGATAACGGAGTACAGTTTCTATTATTATCTCATGGCAAACACCGTCTCCCACTGTCTCCCACTGTCTCCCAGACTCAGGCGCGCATGCGCAGAATGCAACGTGGGTTTGTTTGGGTCAATGACAACATGGTGGATTTTTCAGTCACTCTGAAGTCTGGTCGTCTTTTAGTTTTTATGAGAGTGGTGAGGGAAACTTGATTGAAGAAAATAACCTTAAAAGTGAATGCAGGGTGAGTTAACTTTTAGCTTTGGTTTGTCTCTCAGACTTGCTAACAGCGTGTAAACTGAAGCCCTCAGTGCTGCCGCTGTTGTAAAAATGCTACACGTTGTTCTGCTGCTGTGTGCATCATGTCTCGGCAGAGTCTATTCGTCCACTGCACATGATAACACGTTAAGCTGTTTAGTCAACCAACCAGCATATCTAGAAATGCTACAGACTGCTCTGTATTTATGTCAGTTTTTGGGCTCATTGCAGTAACTATCACTGTCTTCTAAAGACTTATTTGTTTTCATGTAATTGTCCACGGGATCATTGTATTACCTATATAATATCTTGATAATGCACACTTAGATGATTTTCATTTGTTTACAAAAGCTATTTGCTGTTATTTTTTATGCAAACAAAATGGCAATTGTATTTGTAGTTTTCAATATTAAAACTTGTTGAAATGGTTTCAGTGTGTGTATCAAGACATTTTAATATTTTCTGGCACATTTTTACAATACCGTGATAATACTGATAACAGTGATAATTTTGGTCACTATAATCGTGATATGAAATTTTCATACCGTTTCATCCCTACCCAGGAGTAGGTAATAATGGGTGCAATCCAAACTTCGTTATTGTCCGGGTTGACGGCACTCCAGGTATTACTGATCAAACTGCCAGGATGGCACAGACAGTGTAGAAAATCATGGCGATTAAGTGCAAAACGCTTAAAAACTAGGGCTGGCCCGAATGTCCTTTTTTGAGCTTTGAAGCTTTGATAGTAATTAACAGTGATTAATTGAAGCTTCGCCCCTGCGTGGGGGATGGGATACAGCGGTTGTGTGGTTAAACGTCTGTTGATAAGCTGGCTGGCTATATATTTGATAGGAGCAGAGCAGCAAAAGAAGTATAAATGCCCAAGAGGTTCTGGCAATGACATGAGTGAGGGAGAACCAGATGGGGGAAAGATAAAAACGGTTCGTAAGTCACAGTCTGTGTGTCTGTGTGAGCTAGTTAATATTACCAACACTTTGTTTTTAATTGTGTTATGTCTAGGCTAGTAGACCCTAGTACAGGCCTAAGAGAATGGGTTAGATAAAAAAGAAATATTTACTGGGGGGTTGAAGGGACGGGAGATTGAGGGGAAAAAGCGGAAGATTAGCTGTGTACGAACCGGGTTGGTGGCTGCTGTGCAGTGCAGGTTGGAACCGTGCAGAGTAAGAGACTGAACTGAGCAGGTCCAGAGCAGAATACAGGAATATAGCCTATTAGACGGACGAGTGTCCAAGGAGAGCAGATGGGATCAGTATGGTGACTAAAACACCACCTTATGCAAAAATCACTTAACTTTCATTATGTCCCACTACATGTTCTTCTTCAATCGGCCTAATATAATGATTTAAATGCGTACATTATGTTATTAGTTTGTTGTAGTCTATAGTTTAGGTTACTGATTCATTCTAAAATGTAGGCTATTTGAATTTTCAAGATCTGTAATGTAATTAAGCAATTGTAATATGAATAAACCCCATAACTGCCACACTGCCGTTCTAACAATTCAGTTTAAAGTGCTACCACACAGCTGAGGGCTTCATTTTGTGTTCCCTTGGACGTAAACTGGAGCATTACGTTCACTGCTGTGAGGGATGTCAGGTATGCAAAAAATTCAAATCTCAAACTTAATTAAAGCTGCAAACCGCGTTGGGCGGGCCCTTGCACGTGTAGCACGTCAGGGCGTGAGGCGGCCACATTCATATTCTGGAGCTCTACCGATGCAGTGGATTTGCTACACACTTCGGACGCTGCACAAAGGTGTTATATGTCACTTCCTGTGTCCCCTTTGTGGCGCTACATAGTACTTGGCACTATGAATATAAATTAATATTGGTGTGTAGATGTGTTCGGGGCGGGACAGTTATCAAATACGTAAATTTTTATGCAGATGTGAGCATGTACACTAAAGTTACAACAACTTCCTGTGTCACGACTTGATCTTTGACGCTATGAACACGCCCATTGACGAATACTCACAGATAGCACAACTTTTCATCGTCAATGTCTTTAGAAGAAATTTCAAGTCGTTCGGACTAAATGCCTAGGAGGAGTTCGTTAAAGTACGGCGTGTGTAAATCATCCAAAAATGGCCGTAAAATTCAAAATGGCCGACTTCCTGTTGAGTTTAGGCTATGGGTTCTTGAGGCTTTTTTGTGCAACTGTCCCCAGAAAATTTCGTGCATGTAGGTTGAACGTGGACGAGGGGCTAATTTTTTCCAATTTTCTAGGCGGCGCTAGCGAGTCATTTTGCCACGCCCATGCGCGAAACCCATAATACACAAAATCTTTTGCCACTGCAAAATTTGGTGAGTTTGAGTAGGTTTAGGTCCCCAAAATTGAGTTTACTTTGCAGAAAAACACCCCCAAAAAAAACCATAAATAAATCTCTTCAGTTTCAATAGGGACCTCGCATGGTTCGTGCACGGGCCCTAATAATAACAATAATAATAACAACAACAACAACAACAACTGTGACCTTCACTGTAGGGATCGACCAATATGTTTTTCTGGGCCGATCCCGATCCAGATTATTAGTAACCAATTAGACCAATGACTGAAAATTTTGAATATCACACCAACACAAAACTTTGTTAAAAATAACAAAATTAAAGTTAATCTTTATAAATAGTAAATTAAATGAATTAGAGATCCATCCCAGAGATAATCAAACTTTGTCTTTACCTGCTGCCATTCATTTATTTGATTGATACTATTTATTGGTTCTGTTCTTTATCTATACTCTTATTGGTTTTTCATTACCAAATAATTGCCTTTTAAAAAATATATTTTTAAAAGTATACATTCAGGACAGTAATCAAATTTAATATTTTTTTATAACTAACTGTTTTCAGAGCGGCAACAAAACTAAAGTTTACAGCAGCAAAGTCACTTATAAAATCAGTATCTCACTGGAAACAAATGGAACATGAAAAATAAATTATATTCCTGACATTAAAATACTGAGTGAAGTTTAGAATAAAGAGCACCGACATCAGTTAATCAGTCCTTTATCTTGTCCTCCTCCCTCTGCTGCTGCTGGTAGACAGGAGCTGGTCTGTCTCAACAAGCAGCTATTTGCAAGGATTTGCTAAATTTTAAAAGGTACATAGCATCTAAGCTAAACAGGCTACAGAAAGAGATTTCGTTTTAGCTTGTTTATAACAAACTAGCTATTAGCTGAGCTAGCACGTGTGCTTGCGTAAAACCAAAACAGAGCTGCGACAAAGCACATTAAAATATCGCTTCATACACTTTCCTGCTTATTGTACTGATCCAGTAACAACCTTTTACTAGTACTACTACTGCTGGTTTTGCTGCACTTACAGTAACGAGTGTAGTTATGGTCAAGTTTTGTAATCTACACTGCTCACTTAGCTCTGTGTGTGTTAGCGGAGCTTTGCTGACAGGAGGGGAGGGGCTGCAGCGTCATGGCTGCTTCAACACTGTACTGAGTGTTGATAGGCTTTTACTCTCGACTTGTAACCAATCAGCAAGTACTGTGGGCAGGACATTGCTCGAGCCCACAGAGTGGCGACTACAGATAGAGAGAGGTGGCTGCATAGGAGCCAGAGTAGCACATTTTTAAATTCATTAATTATATCGGCTATCTGATTTTAAAATCCCGAAGCAGATTATTTGAAAAATGCTTAATAATCGACCACAATAATCAGCCAGGTCGATTATTGGTCGACCTACTACACTGCACTGACAACTTGCTCACTCCCTTTCATTGTCACTTTCTGCCACTTGCTCTCCCACACTCACTATGCGCACACACATTATAAATGTGTGTGCCTTTAAAAGACATGTATTTCTATAGCCCTCTGTAATAACCACTTCATGAACTTTTTTAATAATACAATTCTAATTATTAGAGACAAAACTCCTTATGAAGGAAGGAAGGACAAGTGAGCATAGAAATCATTAAAATAAAATCTGCTGATATAGCAGAGAAGAATTGGAGCACTTACTGTTCTGTGTGATTTTCTGGATGTTGGAGCTGCATGTCTGTATGAGGGTGTTGAAGTCCCGGGGGACAGGGCGGTAGGTCTCTGCTTTGTCGTATGACATGTCTGCCAGAGCGTACCTTAGGCGTTGAGCTTTAGCTGCAGACAGAGAAAAAATATTTTCTATGATATGAATAGGCAAGACAATGACAATGGTAATGGTAATGTGGGCCCAATATTGATCATTTGTAAAATGATCAAAACAACTGATTTAAACTAGTGTAACAGATATCCTGATACAGGAAACTGTGGAGAAGTGGTTTTCAGTTACTTTACAAATGTACTTTTTACATTATGGCAGACTAGCTTACTCACTCCATGTCACATTGTCCGCCTACAGTTCCAGAATAATGAACATTTAATTGTTTTATTGACAGGAGAGATTAAGCGTATCTATCTTAGTCCGAATCACTGTTAGAACAACGCGCGACTTACTGTAGTAAAAGCATGTTAGACATTTTAGGTAATGCCTCAAGACTATCTTAAAGGCACTTTCAAATTAGTTAAAACTTTACTTCATTTAATCTTCAAATTCTTCTTTCAAAAAGAAAAACAGTTCTCACCTTTCCTCTAACTGGCCATTGTCAACATCTCTCACTGTTCTGCCAATGAAATTTGCAGCCTTTTTGTTTTATAGAATATGGGATTATTTTCTTATCTTTATTCAACAGCGTCATCTTTCAATTTCAGAGCATGACTTCTTGATTTCACGTATGTTTTCCCTCTAAACCTTGCTCTCAAAACAGCCCTACTTCTGCTCTTACACTATGTTGTAAGATATGTTGTTGCTTCCAGATTTCCTGCCTCCAGCTTCAGCCGTTCTCCTCACACTTGTGAAATATTTGCTGTCAGATTTCTGCTGTTCTCTGTTTTTTTTTATCAATAATCCTGTAAAAATCCCCCAACCAAAAGAATGCCAGGTGTAGTGTCGCCTTGTTGCAGGCACGTTCGCTTTACTCCTTAGAGCATCCCAGACAGGTGGTTCCTGTATAACTGGGGTCATCTGCCCCTTCCCTCCACTGCTTTATTAAATACTTCCCTTGCTTTCTTTACTATAATAGCTGCATACTGTATAAGAGTAGTTGTATAGTACAATGACCTCTGATCATAGCGCTGGAGTACAAAACAACATCACCTTTGTGAGTCAGTAATCGCCAAAGTCAAGTACCTTCTTCACTTCCTTCAAACTGAACTGATAAAGTCATATTCCCAGTATCTGAACGTGAAATCATAAATTCATGCGCTCAAACTGAAAGACAGAAAAATAATCCTTTTGGTTTTTGCTTGAATCTGCCTACAATTGTGATTTTGAACTATGCAAGTATGTTAACTTTTGTTTATAAATGGGTGGTCAATGTGTTTTTTGAACGAATATAAGGAAACACTGAGCTCTCAGATTTATCTTGTTCCCAGGGTATGGCACTGTTGAGTCTTGATTTGTAAATATTAACTGATAATTTGTTTTATGCCCTGACAACTCATGTAAATCACATTTTTAAATTATTCTTTAAAAAGATAGCCTACATGGTATCAAGTGTGTGATATAACCGCCATATTTTTGGGGGCAATGTAACATTACCACACTAAGGCCATTTGGTCAGAGTTTAGTAACGTAACATTACCCTATTTCAAATTTTATAAAAATAACTTCTGACATAGAGGGTTTGCCCGACCGGTGGACAATCATCTCCTAGTCTGCCTACCCAGTCAGTTAGCGTGACAGCAAGACAGCAGGATTTCTCTCTGGATTGCTTTCAATAGCAAATTTCCAAATCAAATGTACTGTTGCAGCTTGCTATGGAAAGCGATGGTGCTGACCCTTATATGACAGCTATTATACAGTACTTTGGAATCAAAGATTATGTTAAGGAAGGAAGGCTATAAAAAAAAATAGCACAGCTCAACATCACAATTGCAGGCAGACAGATTCAGGAAAAACAAAAGGGCTGCAATGCTACGACTAGAACATAAGAAACACATTGTGGCAAATGACTAAGCTAAGTTACCGTTACAAGCTGTAAAATAATAATAATAATAATAATAATAATAAAATAATAAGCAGCGAAATCTCCCTTTTTTTAGATTTTCACAAATAACGTTAGTAACTTAACTTACATGTTTCACAAATTTGAAAGTGGGCTTCAGCGTTGATGCCTTGAAAAAAAATGTCTTGCACGGTTTCACAACAGTAAAAGGTGTAATAAACGGTGGACCGTCACTCAGTAGTATAAGTTAAGTTTAGTTTCACTTATCGTTAACTGCCGAATCGGAAGCTAACTTCAGCGTCACACTGTTAGCTTGCTAATGGTGAATCATTCAAGCTTATCTAATTGCAAGACAAGTGTTATTGTTCGTTTGGCTTGTAATGTTAAATATTTAGTCAGTTCACATTAGCTCTATTGATCGCCCTCCGTTTATCTGCCCAAAGTTATCGAAGGCTGTAGAGAAGTACACTCAGCTATTAGCTTTCAAACGTTAGCTAACCGACGCTAAGTCAGCATTCAGTTGTTTGGGATAAACAGGCTATCTTGAGACAGCTAAGCGTTTTCTTCGCCAAGTTACGACTTAGAAACAACAACATATTTTCAACAAGAGTTAAGTGTTTAATATGAACAAACGATGTAATACTTGCGTATTTGGCTGTTTAAAATGAACACACTGGCGTAATATTCTTCGTCTGCCGTCAAGATTCTGCCCTTCCTGATCTTCTTCTTCTTCTTCTTCTTCTTCTTCTTCTTCTTCTATAATTTTGGCAGTGTATACGCTGTTAAGCGTATTACTGCCCTCCACAGGTCAGAGTTAGTTCTTTATTCTCACATAAAATCCTGTATCATGTAGAAACTATGGAAGCCCGTTTCTGCCACATGGATGAAAAAAAAAAGATCCAGTATCTCAAAATAATGAGAAACTTTCTCAAAATATTGACTTAGTATCTCAAAATAATGAGAAACATTCTCAAAATATTGACTTACTATCTCAAAATAATGAGAAACATTCTCAAAATATTGACTTAGTATCTTAAAATAATGAGTTAGTATCTCAAAAGTTTGACTTAGCATCTCAAAATAATGAGTTAGTATCTCAATATAATGAGTTAGTATCTCAATATAATGAGTTAGTATCTCAAAATATTGACTTATTATCTCAAAATAATGACTTAGTATCTCAATATAATGAGTTAGTATCTCAATATAATGAGTTAGTATCTCAATTTAATGAGTTAGTACCTCAAAATATTGAGAAAAATCAGAATTTGCATAGGGCCTCTGTGCTGCTTTCTCACATGCGCCAAAGCAACAGAAGCAAGTGGGTGAGACAAAGCTTAATAGACCCAAATGGATACCATAATTGAAAACTACTTTAGACGTGGATTTACAAATCGTGAAATTTTAGTGGTTTTGGAGGAATCCCATGATATTAAACTAAGCCTCCGGACCCTAGAGAGAAAGCTGCAAAAGAACCAGCTTTGGCGGAGAAAAAATAAGATAGATGAAGTTGAAGTGGCATCCTTTATTGACCAACAACTACAAACGTCCGGCAAACAGCATGGCTACAGATGGATGCACCAGAAATGGTGGCTGGATGGCCGGGATAATTACCGACAGAGAAACTGTGCATCAACTGATGCGACTGATGGTCGAGAATGGGGTAGATTTGCGTGCTCGCAACCGTTTGAGATGGCGTATGTATGTCAGTCGTGAGCCAAACTATGTATGGCATGTAGATGGGTATGACAAATTAAAGCCTTATGGCATATGTATCAGTGGTTGCATAGATGGCTTCTCAAGGAAAATGATATGGCTAGAAGCATACAAAACCAACAATGACCCTCGTATTATTGCAGGTTATTTTATAGATGCTGTGACCAAAAACAATGGATGTCCACAAAAAGTCAACAGAAGAGAGTGGGTGATCAGGTTAGATCATGGTACTGAGAATACCCATGTTGCAGTAATGCAGAAGTTTCTGCTCAACATTGAGGATGAGAATGGTACACAGTGTGTCGCTTTAGGTCCAAGTACTGGCAATCAAAGGATTGAACGTTGGTGGTGCACCTTGAGGACAGAATGCACCCAGTTTTGGATGAACCATTTTGACCAGCTGAGAGCAGATGGCCATTTTGTTGACAGCTTCATTGAAAAATCACTGATAAGGTTTTGCTTCCAAAAGACAATACAGGTACAGAATCCTAAATATCTATTGCTTGTCAACACAGAACTGTGAGAGATACGGCACACAAATTACTTTCTAACAAACGTTTTCACTCTTTTTCTGTCGGTGGTATAGGAGGAGCTTGATGCAGTTGTAACTGCCGGGAATGATCATCAAATAAGAACAACCCACAATCCTCGGTCTCCTCACGGTCGCCCTTCCATAATGTATGCAGTTCCCAACCTTTATGGGGCTCAGAATTTCTTGCAGCCAGCTGATAAAGTGAAGGTAGAAATATGTTGCGAGGACAGTTGTTTTAAGGACTATCCTTGTGATGAGGATGTGTTTCACTTATGTATGGAACTTATGGCTGAGCACAACCTGGCAATGTCTGATGATGTGTATGAAATTACTGACCTTTATTTAAGACTTCGTCAAATGATTATAGATGGGCTGGAGGAATAAAGTATGTGCTTTGAGAAAAAGCTAAATAGGCCTACCACAGTAGCCTATATTTTTTTGAAAAGTGCTCTCCAAGTAAAGATTATTATTATTATTATTATTATTATTATTATTATATAAATATGCCCTGAATTGTTTATTTCACAACATCTGAAATATAAGCATTTATTGTGGGTACAAAAGTGACACTTCTTTAAATTAAATGAAAATTAGAATTATAGGATCTTTTCGTAGCCCTCTGTCTATATAGCCTTATACAACCCAACAAAGTATCTTACTTTCAATTGCTTCAATTGTTTTTTGCCTTCCACATCTCCTGTATGTAGAGATGCATCTGTAATAGTGTGCACCATATACACAGTAACAGTACAGTACTGCATTGTTCAATATGTTGTCAATGAAAGAACATGACAACGCAGTATGTGGTAACGTTGTAATGGTAACAGGTACAGCAACAATATGGTAAAATGGTAATTTCTCATGCAAACAAAAAAAGGCATACAGTCATCAATTTCACTTGGAGGAATTGTGAGTTTTTTTGTAATGATTCTAAAACATATTCCTATGTTTCCCTTTTGCTCTTATGTGTAACAAATAAGATTATTTTGTACCTAACAACAAATGTATGCTACTGTATACGCTAATGAGAAAATTATGTTGCAGTAGGTTTTGTGTGTAAACTGATATGTCTGATGATTTTGCCTAGAAATACCAAGACAAAATGGTTGTTCTGAGTGACTTACCCTGAGAGTTGAACATTCAAAAACATATAACATAACATTGTATAAAAACAAATGTTACAACAGAACTTGTGTCAAGCATAAAGCAGGTTAGTTTACATTGGTCTGGTTTCAAACAGTTAATGCAAAGCGGATCGTTAACTCCTGAAAAATACACTATAATTCACTGCAGTAGCCAAGCAGCAAGTACTACCACAGTGGAGATGTGCACTTTTCATAACGTGTTGTGTACATTCTTCCAGAGCAAGATAACACTGTAGAAATTGTAGAATCACTCTTTCTTCTACTTATGAACATTATTAGATCTTTACACCTTGACTAAGCTTACTTTTGGCATGTATACTTCAAAAAATCTTACAATGGTCAGTCTGCCATTTACAGCGTGATTAGATCTTAACCTTGAGTGACATTAACTAATACCAGCAAATATGTTACTTTGATAGTATTAACTTTACATAACAATTGCTTAGCTCAAAAACAAACGCTAAACACATTGTTTTCATAGACCTTGATAGACAAGATTCTGTGCCAACAAAAGTTATTTAAATGTACATCGTTGCCCTCCTTGGTCTCAATAGGGTGATACTATTATGTCCTATGGTGTTATCCTTAACAAATCTAGGTATCAACTACACATACATTGCCATTACTGTGTAGAGCTATCTGTTTCAATCTTTTGCAAGGTTTGACATGAGGATGCTTTGTCACTGACATTATACAGGGAAATAAAACGATTAATATTGTGAAACTGAAATTGTGTGTGAAAAGCAATAAACACACACATACTCCCTGAACTAGATTAAATGATGTCCATTACCCACACATTAGACTCCAGCACCTTGCTCATCTCAGAACTGAAGTCAGGATAGCTGTCATAATGGACTGACAGCTCCAGCACACAGTCACATGTGTGGGCCACAGGTCTTCTCTGAAAACTTTGAGTCTGGGTAAAGGCAAAAATTATATTCTTCCCCAGGCAGAGATCTGATCCTGTACTGAACCTGAGGAACAAACACAGATGCTGCGAATCAGCATTCCTCAAGTATGTGGTGAGATACTTTTGAATGTCCTTCTGGTGGATGTTCATTGTTTTCAGAAAAGTCTCCTATAAAAACATTGCTACTCTCAAAAACATCATCACTCACACCCTCTGAAGAATATAGTGAAAATTCAAAATTGTCATCACTTGTAGTGTTCCCAAGAAATATCACATCAGGGCTGACTGTTTCAAATGTAGCAGGTGGCTGTGCTGTAGCAACACTGAGAGGAGAAGTGGAAGGCTGATTCTGAGAGGTTTCTTGTCTCTCCAAAGATGGAGCCAAACCTGCGCTGTGACTGTGTGGACTGTCTTTTTTTCTTTGTGTGGTTAAATAAAACCTAAGAAGAGCAAGTTTTGTGTCAGTGTACAATTGTCCAACTGTGATTACATCGTCAACTGTTACCTCTTGATAATCTTTGAGATCTAACTCAAAATCTGTTATGTGTCCCTGAATATTTCTCCCATCTGGAAAAAACAGGCTAATTGCTTCCTGTATCAAATCTTTTTTCTGATCATCCTTTGAGATGTTGATTTTTCGTGTCCCCCCTCCTCGTTTAGCTCTCACTTGCTTGAAAGCCTCTTTTTCACTATCATAATGCATCCATCCAATTTCTATTTTTCTCACTGTCTTCAGAGCATTTTTTTTTCTGAGTTGGTTGGGCATGCTCCTCTTGGTCTGGGCTGCTCGCTGCTTTATCACAAGGTTTTCTTTTGGCCAATTTTTTCTTCAGGCGCTCAAAAAGCTTCAATTTTCGAGTGTTGTTGTGGCTGTTTTCCTTCCGCCTACAAAATCCCAACACTGCTAGGCAATCACCATATGATGGTAAATAAGTCTTTCATCAGTTGTATGGTACTGGCATCAATCTGGAATGGAATTATTTAAAAAAGAGCAATCCTGGTTGGATAACCATATAATTGTTGATACCATACAATTATCTAGATTTAATGAAACAACAATAAAAAAGAAAGTGTATGTTTTGAAGAAAAGACTGAAAATGTCTCCATGAAAAGTACATTTTTTTGACTAAAATATTTTGCTTTTGCACTTAAGTACCTTTTCATGCTCCAGTGTCTTTATTGTCTACTCAGAAACATTTCTCTATCTCAAAAAGTCACTAAGATCATCCAT